CTTATTAATCAAATATTATAAAATTTCACAATTATTTTAATTTTGATACCTTTTAAAATGAAATTATTTAATAGAGCAGGAATGTTTTGTTTGTAAAAAAAAAAAGAAAATATCAAATTGAATATGGTATTTTCACTGACATTTTTATAAAAATATCTCTATTTATAAAATATGTAATGAAAAGGTATATGATTATGACTAAGTTACACAACTAAAATACTAAACGAAAATATAATAAACTCTAAAATACACACTTAAGGAGACGCATAAAATATATTAACACAAACTAAATAATAAACACTAAAACACTTAAATAACTTAAAAACACTTAATGTAATAATCTTCGAATACTATTATATAAAAATATAATATTAGAAGATAAGACATATAAATTATAAAACCTCCATACCTAAACTGTTTGTAAATAAATTATAGACTCTTCGTGACATGTAAATTAAAAACCTTTATACAAATATTAACTGTGTGATTAACACCTTTATTTATAAATTAAATTAAAAATTAATAAAATGTTATTAATAATTATATTAATAATAATATGTTAGAATCCGAGATACCTAACACTTTAAACAATTATGAGAAAGCGAATAACACTAAAATATACTTTATTTATTATTTAAAACTTGTCTAAACATATATATCTATAACTACTAAATAAAAAAAAAAAACTCTAAAGTTTTAGACTGAGGACTTGAGGTATTTATACAGAATGAGATTGGTTCTAGATGTTAGATATCTCGGATTCTAACATGTTATTAATAATAATTATTAAACGTTATTTATTTTTAAAAAAAAAAAAAATTAAAAAATTTATTTAATTTTTAATTTTTTAAAAATTTATAAAATTTAATTTATTTAAAAATTAATTTTATAAATTTTTAATTTTTAATTTTTAATTTCATTTTTTTTTATAATTTAATTTTTATTACAAAACAAATATAAATAAAGGTGTTTATCTCACAGTTAATATTTGTATAAAGGTTTTTAATTTACATTTCAAAGAGTCTTTAATTTATTTGCAAACAGTTTAGGTATGAAGGTTTTATAATTTATATGTCTTATCTTTTAATATTATATTTATATATATATAGTAGTATTCGAAGATTATTACACCAGAAGCTAATTCTTAAGGTAGTTGAAATACTGGAATTGGTAGTTATTAAAAAGCAGTTACAAAATACTGGAATTGGCAGTTATTATTTACTTAAAGATTTAGAATATTGATTCATTACAAATAATATAAAAAAGCAAGGGTAGGAAAGCTTGGTAGAGTTAAAAAATATTAAAAGTTCAATTTGGAGGAAGCATCTTTTTGGTATTAATTGCTAACCACGAATTTTTGACTTACCCCTTCAATAAGAATGGCGTAAAGGTTAACACGACTTTTATTTATTTATTTTTAAAAGAATTTTTAGTAATTTAATTTGATTATTTAATTTAGTTATTTAATTTTTGTTGGGTAATTTTTGTTGAGTAATTTTTTTATTAAATTTTTATTTATAATTCATCGATAAAGTTCTGTAGCTTTCCAGGTGTATCGGTATTTTCACTCAAAATATATATCTGAATTCCACTGGTTTCTGAGGAAGCATCCTTTTTTGTATTAATTGCTAACCACGAATTTTTGACCTACCCCTTCAATATGAAGAGTGCAAAGGTTAACACGACTTTTATTAATTTTTTTTATAATTTTTTTAGTAATTTACTTTCAGGTTATTGAATTTTAATTTTTTTGAGGAAGGATGCGACAAAAACGTATCTTCATTAATTTCAAGAAAGCAAGGGTAGGAAAGCCTGGTTAAATCCGTGTGACTTAAGATCTCATCCTGTCGGTTCGCGAGTTCGAATCTCGCCTCTTGCAATTACTTTTCTTCTTTTAAAGTTTTATCTTTTCGGTGATTTTAAAAAAAGTGTAAATTGTTATGTATGTAATGTATTATCATCAAAATTCACTTAATTAATTAATTATAACTTATATAGTTATTTAATCAAACAATTATAATAATTTGTAAGGTACTAAGATCAAATAATTTTAATAATTAAAAATAATTTAATTTAAAAAAATAAAGTTTTTGGTTTTAGTTTTCACAAACAAAGAATTGTATATTTATTTGATTATTAGAATTATTTATATTTATTATTTATCTATAACTAAAGTAGCTCCATCTACATTACATGTAAATGAACTTTAAATCTTGAAATGAATTTTACTGATTAATTTAAAGCATTTGCTTTTAATCATCTTCACTTTTTAAAAAAAAAAAAAAAAAAAAAAAAAGTATAATTACTTTATAATAATTAATAATAATCAAATTATCAACAATTATTTTTAATTTATCAAAAAAAATTTTAAAAAAAAATAATAAAAACTTTTTATTTTTCGAATTTTACAAAAACATAAAATATAGATAATAAAATTATGATTTTTAAGTTTATCAAAAAACGAAAATTTCTATTTTTTTTTTTATTTTTTTATTTATTTTTTAAAATTTGCAAATGTTTTTATATAGATGGCTAATTCCTTTGAGAATTGTGCCCAATTACTATGTTTAATTAATTCCATATTAAATATATTATTTATTTTAATATTATTTTTGAAATTTAATTGTTCTTTATAATTTTTTTTCCAAGTAAAAAAATTAAAAAATGAAAAAAAATATTTTATTTTTATTTTTATTTTTATTTTTATTTTTTTACATTATTTATCGAATTTGTAAATAATAATAATAATTTCTATAATTTTAAATAATATAATAAATCAACAATAAAAAATATATTAATAAAAAAAAATGGAATGAAAAACAAAAATGATATATCATTTTCACAAAAAAATTTAAATAAAAAAAATAATAATACAGATAATAATAATAATAATAATAATAATAATAATAATAATAATAATAATAATATCAACAATAATATTAAAAAAAATAATAACAAAATTGAAACAAACTATCAAGTTGACTCTTCATTATCTTTTGATTTTGAATTTAGTGACGGAGATCATCAATTACTATTGGGATACCAAGATAGTAATAACAGTAATGAAAAAAGTGTAAATAATAATAATAATAACATGAATAAAGAAAATGAATTTGTAAATAAACTTAAAGGAGAGAAAAGTATTTTCTCACATTTATATAATAATAATAATAATAATAATAATAATAATAATAATAATAATAATAATACCAAAGAAAATAATAATGAAACCATAATTGATATCTCATGTTTATTAGAGCCAAAATTAACATCAATAAAAAATCGAATGAATTCAATAGAAGAATTATTAAAATCATTTGATAAAAAAATAGAACTTTATAAAAAAAAAAAAAAAAAAAATAAACAAACTGTAAATAATTCAAAACAACTTGTAAATATTAATAACGAACAAAAATTCACAAATGATAATAATAGCAAAAAAAGGAAACTAAAAGAGTCATTAGAAAATATAGAATTTAGTTTTAATAGTAATTTTATTAATAAAAATGACAATGAAAGTCCAACTAAATCAAGAGCAATAGAAGTTACCGAATTTTCTATGGATTTTTCTTTTAGTTTTTTAGAAAATAACAATAATAATAATAATAATAAAAATAATAATTCTGAATATAATCTATCACCAATCAAAGAATTAGAAAATAATAAATCAATAGTGGTTGATAATTTACCCCCACTTCCAAATTATAAAAGTAATAAAATTAATAATATAGTTAAAAAAAATTGTATTCTTTCACTAAAACTACCACCCCCAATAACACCGAATAAACCGTTTATTTCATTAAATAGTAGCAAACCAGATCCTTCAAAAGCTTCCCTCATAAATAAAGAAAATTTAAAATCAATTACTTTTAATAAGATTATCTCTAATAACCACAATATCAGTATTACCAAAACACCAATAACAATAATCACAACAGTCATGAACAACAAAGATAATGTTCCTGTTAATAATCAAAATAATAATAGTAATAATAATAATAATAATAATAATAATAGTTCACCACCAACAATTTCACCACAAAAAACACCAAATAATACATTTAATAATAGTCATGGCAGTGGTAATAATATTTTTAGTCAAATTAAATTTCATGAATATATTTCAGTTGACCAAATGATAGAAATGATGAATAACAATTTGGAAGTATTACACCATGGGTACAATAATTCTTGGGGTGCCGAAAATCAAGATTTTGGGTTTCAAAGTTCAAATTATCCATTCAAAACACATACAATCACAGAGAATTGCTGGGAATGGTTTAAGAAAGCATGGGCTTCTCAAAGAGAGTTTGGTTTCAGTTTATGCTTTAACTTTAAAAATCACCATGCATCAAAGGTTACTGAATCAATCGATGACCCTCCAGATGAAGATATAGCATTTCTTCCTCAACTAATAGAGCTTTATGGCATAGTTGTTTGCTGGGCACCATCCCACACCCTTTATTATTTAGTACTAAGTAACCACCATTTAAACTACTACAAATTTAATCATGAAGAATCAATCAATAGTACAACTGTTGATGGAACAAAAACCAAAAGTAAAATCTTTGACCCAGTCGTCCAAGAATTAATAAAAAATAAAATCGAAAATTCAAAATTTGCAAAGCTCACCGAAGATCAATTACAAAAGAGATGGGAATTTTTAAAAATTGTTTTAGAAAATCCAACCAGTTATAAATATTCATACAATTTAAAACCACAACTTAAACTATTGCTTTTTAGAGGAATTAAAGTAAAAGATGGTATTATGGATCCCAAATTAGCCGCATGGGTAATGAACAGCGAACATAATAAAGATAAAACACTGGGTCAACTATACGATGGAACCTCAAACCCTTATAAATCAAGATCAAATGGTTACTATAATTGCTATGATAGATCATTCTACACTGTATGTAATATTTTATGTACATTAAATAAATAAATTATATTAATATTTTATTTTCAATTTTTACTAGTGTTATAGATCTTTTCAAACAATGAGATATTATATTCAAAGTTTACATATACAAAGAGAGGATAACAAGTTTTTTAATATATTTCTAAATATTGAAATGAAGATACTACCAATTTTTGCAATGATGGAATATGTTGGTATTGGGTTTAATGAAAAAGTTAGTGAAAGTGGGAAACATTTAATTCAAAGAAAAATCGAGTATTTAGATTACAAGGCCCATGTATTGCTACCAGGTAAAACATTTTCATTAAGCAGTGGTGACAATGTTTCAGAAATATTATTTACAGATTTAAAAATCCCACCTCCAGAAATCGCAAAATCAACCAGTAGGAAAAATCGATTAAAAAAACAATACTATTTAACAAACTCGGTTGTTTTGGAACAAATTAATCACTACCATCCACTTCCATCAATCATCTCAGAGTACAGAGTGTTGACACATCATATCAGCCATTATATCGATGTTTTGGGTAAATATTTGTTTAGATCGGATCACTATCAAATGGATAGAATTTATTCGACAATTCAACAGACTATTGTACCAACTGGACGTATTGCAATGGAAAATCCAAATCTTCAAAACATTTCACATCCAATTGACTTTAAGAGAGCTCCAGAAATAGATTTCTCTCAAGAATCAATCAAAAGTTTCAATGAATCATTAGATCGGTTTGAATATCTCAGCGATGAACACTATTTAAGTTTATTACAAATGGATAAATCTTGCGATGTTATTACAGTATCGATTAGAAATGCATTCATCCCCGCCAATGGCTGCAAGCTACTATCAGTGGATTATGGCCAGCTAGAGCTTAGAATATTAACCCATCTTTCTCAAGACCCAAAGCTAATGGAAATGTTTAACTGTAACATCAATATTGATATTTTCAAATATGTAGCACATCAAGTTGGTAACATTCCCTACGACAGTGTCACTGATTCCGATAGGCAACAGGCCAAGCATTTAGTGTATGGAATTCTTTATGGTATGGGTATAAAGTCAATTGCCAGTGAATTACACATACCAATAGAGCAAGCAAGAGGCAAATTGGAAAATTTCAAGAAAACTTACAATAAACTAATTGAATATTTAGAAATGGTTGAAGAAAATGTAATTCAAAATGGATATATTGCAACACTATTCGGAAGAGTTCGTAATTTCTCAAATATACACTCATGCAAAATCGATAATAACGAAATATCAAAAGTAAAAAGAGCAGCACGTAACTCCATCCCTCAAGGAACTGCAGCTGATATTGCTAAAATGGCAATGATTAAAATTCAAGATGAATTAGATAAAAATCATTTTAAAGCCCAAATGATACTCCAATTACACGACGAAATTCTTTTTGAAGTACCAGAAAACGAATTGTACCAATCCGCCCAAATCATCAAATATTCAATGGAAAACGTTGTAAAACTATCAGTTTCTTTACCAATAAAAATGTCAATCGGTCCAAATTGGGGTTCCCTAAAACCTTTTGAAGTTTAAAATAAAAAATTATTTAATTTTAATTAAATTTTAATTTTTTTTTAATTTTTTTTTTTTTTTTAATTTTTTTTTTTAATTTTTTTTTTTTATTTTTATTTTTTTTTTTAATTTTTTCTTTTATTTTTTTATAATTTTTTTTATACATTAACCATTATTATTTATATATATCTGTAAATTAAAATTTAGAAAGAATAATAATGGAGGTTTTAATTAAATTACCATATATTAACAACAATAATAGTAAAATTTTAAATATTAAATTAAATAGAGAAGAAGTATTATGCGAAGAATATCTAAAATTAAAAATATTTGAAAAAACATTTATACCAGTAGCCTATCAATATTTAAAACTAATTTCATCAAGCGAATTTAAAGTTTACGATTTATTATTAAGAGTCAATGGTGGTAAAGGTGGTTTTGGTTCATTATTAAAATCTACAGGTACAAGAGTTGGTCAAAAGAAAACTACAAATTTCGATGCATGCAGGGATTTAAGTGGTAGAAGATTAAGACATGTTAATAATGAAAAAAAACTTAAAGAATGGATGGAAGATGAAGAAAGTAGAAAACTAGCTTTGGCTGAATTAAAAAAGAATTTAGATAACGCAAATGAAATTCTTGGCATAGGTAAAAGTAAAGAGGAGTTCAATGATACCCAATTTCAAAAAGATCATGAAGATTTGCAAAAAAAAGTTTCAAATTCTGTAGAACAAGGTTTAAAAGAACTAAAGAAACAAAAAGAATTAGAAAAAGAATTAAGCAATACAACTACCACTACCAAAACTACAACAACTACAACAACAGCTGCAGTATTTAATAACAATAGTAAAAAACCAACCATTTCAAAAATTAATAACAATAAAAAACCAATTTCTGTATTCATTCCAGATTTCAGCGATGAAGAAGATGAAGAGGAAGAGGAAGAAAATAATGAAAACAATAAAGAAAACGAACAAAAAGAAATTAATAAAAAGAAATCAACTCCAATCAAAGTTTCAAAAACTAAATAAATTACCTTTCAAATTTTAAACACTTTGTAAATAAAAATAAATAAAACATTTTAGAATTTTAATTTTTATATATAAATTATTATTTATTAATTTTGAAATACTATAAACAAATATTAATTTATTAATTTATTTATTAATTTTTTTTTTTTTTTTTTTTTTTTTAATTTTTTCAAATTTTTTATATTAAAATTTTTTTTTTTTAAAAAACCTTTATCAAATAACATGAATTTAATCCCCAATTTAGTTAGGCAAATTAGAATTCCAATTGGAAAACAACAATATATACATTCAAATGTCAAAAATACTCAACTTAGAAAGAGAGCAAGTGTTGCAGTTATTTTAAGATTAGAACCCAAGTATAACGTAAGAAAACCTTATTATAATAAGCTTACATAATAATTTCAACAATAAATAACTTACAGGTAGTAATATAGGATAATAGTATTAGGTTTAATTGTAAATGTGGAGCAAAGGGAAATGGTCATAAAGAAAGTTGTTTAAATACATTCATTGAGGATATAAGCGGGAAAAATAAATATTTGCCATTGGAAATATTATATTTAAAGAGGGCTGATAATGGTGAAGTATGTTTTCCAGGTGGTAAAATAGAAATAGGTGAAACAGATCAAGAAGCAGCCGAACGTGAAACTTTAGAGGAAGTAGCAATCGATTTAAATTCACCAGATTTTGCATTATTAGGTAGAATGGATGATAAATTTACATTTGATAAAATTGGTGTACACTCATTTGTTTATTTACAACTATCTAAAAACTCACCAAGAATAAAACTATCTGTTGACGAATTGGTCGATTATGGATGGGTTAATATGGAATATATACTTTATTCAAATCCAAAAATACCATTAACAAATCATCAATTAGAATATTTAAATCCCTCATCACCTTTATTAAATGAAACTAAAACCAACGAAAACTCTGTTCAGTATACATCTGTATCAAACATATCAACATCTAGACGTTTAAAAAAAAATATGTGTAAGTCATTCTATAAACATAAATTGCATTATATAAAATAAATAATTAATTAATACCTCATTACCTTATTATAGTTTTAAGATTTGTTTGTAATAATATCTATGTGCCATATTTAATTCTACCAATAGTATCAAGATACCAATTTAAATTGTGGGGTTTAACATTAGATATCACATCAGATTTATTAAAGAAAATGATTGGTTATAGTCCATTTCCACAACAAAGAAACATTAACAACTCAATAATATTCTTTTTTTACAAGTACCCAAAAACATTTACAATATCCACTATTGTAGGTTTATTGATATTATTTAAATTATTAGTTTAATAAAATTCTTTGTGTATAAATAAAATAGATAATCTTTTTTTTTTTTTAAATAAAATCTTTTTTTATTTTTTTTTATTTAAGTTAGTTTTGTGATTTAAAGAATTTCTTTTTCTTTTCTTGTTTTTTAATTTGAGAAACTGTTTTCTTTGATTTGGAAAGTTCATCTTTTGATTGTTGTTTTGGTTTTGGTTGTTCTGATTTTGGTTCTTTTAATAAAATATCTAAATCTTTTCTATAGTTTTTAGATCTTTCTTCTTGTGATTCTAATAATAAAGTTGAAGTTGAAGGATTAATTGATTGGATTGTAAAATCGATTAAATAAGTTTTTTGTAACATTCTATCTATTCTTTGGAAGTGTCTATCGGTATATGGTATAAGTGATTCTAAAAGTTTTGGGAATTCGTTAAGTGAAAGTCTGGATAAGTGATCTGGTTTAAAATTTACAATGATTGCATTGAGAACAACGTGTGATATGGTGATAAATTTGGAGTTGGTGTTCCAATCACGGATATAACGTAAACACTTGATGATTTCATTATCATAAAGACGTGAAACACATGACTCTACAACAGATACACCTACAGTTTCGTCATCATAATACATAGATTTGAAAATATTTAATGTTTGATTTGGTTGGTCTAAAACTAAAGCTAATTTTAATGCACCATAATAATCTTTCTTTCTGAGAGCGGTATCGAGATGTTGTTTGTATAATACTTGATTCTCTTCTTTTTTCTTTTGAATTTCTTCTTCGATTTCGGTGTGATCTTTCCATGCAATAATCTTTGAATCTGAACCACCAGTTATGAAATTCTCTTGATCTTTTTTAACTGATAATGCCCAAATTTTAGTTTCGTGACCTTCAAATGTATTTACACATTCATTGGTTTTGATATTCCAAAGTTTAATTAAACCTTCAGCAGCTACAGAAACGATTTGCATACCAAAACTAATAAAAGAAGCCTTGAGAACTGAACCTTTGTGACCTTCTAAAGTTTTGAGACATGTGTAATCTGTTAATGACCAAATCTTGATTGTACCATCGGCTGAACAAGTTAACATACATTGATCAACTGGTGAGAATTCAACGTGCCAAACACCTCTACGATGAGCTTTAATAGTTGTAATTGGTTCTAAATTATCTGCATTCCAAAGTTTAACAAAGGTATCTTGTGAAGCAGTTGCAATAATTTTATCATTTGGTGCAATAGCAATTGAATTTATATCTTTATCGTGTGCAATTTTAGTAGCTGATGCTGAAATTTTTTTATTATTTTGATTTGCTGAAAACTTCCATAATTTAATTGTACGATCGTCTGATGCTGTAACTGCAAACATAGCAGTAGATTGTTTACGTGGTAGTGCTACACATGAAATAATACCAGTGTGACCTTTTAATGTTAAAATTTCTTCTCTTTTTTCTAAATCCCAAAAAATTGCGCTTTTATCTCTTGAGCCAGAAATTAAATATTTACCATCGGCTGAAACATCAATTGCCATAACAAGGTCATCGTGACCCCTTAATACCTTTGCTCTCTTTGTATTTAAATCATAGGTTTTAATTTCGTTTGAGTTGGTTGCTACAACTATTGAGTCTTCATTTACATATTTAATATCAACAACTTCATCATTATAACCAATAATTTCGCCTTGCTTTTCTAATGTTTTGCAATCATAAATTAAAATATTATGTTCTGATGTAATTGTAAAAATTTTATCCTGTGAGTTACTATAAATTTAATTTTAACAAACGAGTATTAATATGTGTTTGTTTAAATACTAATTTTAAAAATAAATGAAATTATTGCTTACATAATGGAGGTAATTGTAAATAATAATTCACGATCTAAATCTTCATCGGTTTTCTTTTTAAATTCAATGTTGCCATCATTCCAAATGCATTCACCTGTCTCGACGCACCATGCTCTTAAAACTTCTTCAGCACCTAAAACAATTGTAATATCATCTCTTTTAACTTTTTCTGCTGTTGCTGGTTGTGATAATAATCTTTTTCTAATTTTTTCTACTTTTTCTAAAACATTTTCTGGTAATGTTGAATATGATTCTTTTGGTAATGTAATAATTCCACCTAACTCTTGATAAATTGGAATAGTTTTTTTTGGTGTTTTTGAAACTAAATCCCAAACATTTAAAACTTTATCTCTACCTGATGAAATTAATTCTTTACCGCTATTTGAAAATGAAATACCTGAGATTTGCGATAAATGATTGGTTAAAACAATACTATATTAAAAAAAAAAATAATAATAATTTTAGTATTTTATTTTAAATAATATTATTTTATATATATTCTATAAATCTTACCATTCTTTTGTTACTAAATCCCAAATTCTAATATTTAAATCATCACAAACAGTTGCAATTTTATATTCAGTTGGGTGGAATTTAATAATATTTACAACACCTGGGTGTTGGAAGTTATGTGTACAATAACCTTTTTCAATATCCCATACTTTAACAGTTTTATCACTTGATGATGATGCTGCAACATTACCTAGAGAGTGATAATCAATATCGAGTACAGGGCCTTCATGACCCTTCCAAATTTTAACTAATGATTGATCTTCGATTTTATATTGCTTTATTTGTAAATTTGCACATGCAATTAATATTTCTTCATTATCTGGGCTAATTGAAAATGTTGTAATTCTTGAATCCTAATTTAATAAATAAAAAAGTTAATATTTACAAAAAAATAATGAGAATCCAAATAAACCATTTATTATACATACACTTTCGATTTTAGAAATAACAGTACCATCTTCAGTATTAATAAATTTAACTTCTAAACCTGCTTGTGATGCAAAAAATCTAGAATCGTTTGATAATCTAATTGTACCACCTGTAAAAAGTGAACCTATTTCGAAATCTGGTTTAAAAACAGTTTTTAATCTTCTAGATGGTGCTTTTGGTTCTACTTTTTCTACTGGTTGTTGATCGTCATAGAATTCCTCTTCATCATCTGTAACTGGTTCTGCAACAACAAATTTCACCTTTGACATATCAATACCATTCATCATTTTATAATAGTTCCTCTTTTTAGTTTAAAGTAAAAAAAAGATAAAAGATTTAATATGAAAAAAAAAACGGTAAATATTTTGTGAAAAATGAAAAAAACGAAAAATAAAAATTTTTTTATTTATTTTAAAAAAAAAAAAATTAAAAAAATTAAAAATAAAAAATAAATAATTATTTAGGAAAAACGAATAAATATTAATGTTTGTTTTTTAATTGTAAAAATGAAACAAATAAGTTATCAAAATACAAATAAATTTTATTTTATTTTTTTTTATAACTTTATTATAAATAATTTGTGATTAAAAAATATTAAATGTATCTAATTATTAGCAGTACCATGGGATGGATTGTTGACGTGATTTAAATTTTCACTCTTTCTTTTAAGATCATCTTTTAGATGGTCGTATGTATAACCAAAACCAAGACCACCATGTCTGAGACTTGTATAATCAACACCTGGTTGTTTTTTATCTTGCTCAGTTCCAAGGTATGAACCGGTGGCATATGGTCCTTGACCATTGGTTGATGAATTAGTTCCAGTACTACCGTTTTGACCTGTTCCTGTAATATTGGTACCAGATGTACCTGTATTGGTATTACTTAAATTAGCATGGCTAACTGGTGGTGGATTTGGGGCAGTGGTAGAGGCAGTTGATGGATATGGTGGTAATGATGAATTATAACCATTATTACCAGATGAACTATTTGCATTTGAACCACCACTAACTGTAGCAGTTGATGGAGGTGGTAAGCTTTTATTCATTGTTGAGCCTGAGGAGGAAGCTGATGAATTTGATGGAGTAGAGCCAAATAATGATTGAACAAATTGATTTTGTTGTTGTTTTGATCCGCTTGTATTACTATCTTGGCCTGAAATTGAAAGTTTTGACATTGAATCCAATGGAACACCAGAGTAGCTATTATTACTATATGCTGATGTTGAACCTGAGCTTAAACTGTTTGAATGACCACTGTTTCCATACTGACCATTTGAACCATATGATGAGCTGTTTGAATAATTACTTCCATATTGACTTGTACCTGTAGCACCATATTGACCAGTACCCATAGCACCAACACCATATTGACCTACACCAGGTGGTAAACCTGTACCACTTGCGCCATATGAACTTGACATACCATATCCAGCGACACCTGGGGGTGGAGGAGCATATCTTGAATTATATGCTGGAGTACCATATACACTTGAGCCCATACCATAGGTTGGAAGAGATGAGGTTGTATGGCTAGTAATTGTTGTTTGATAGCCACCTTGTGGATTCTTACTACCAGAGGATGATGTAGATGAGGATGAGGATGAGTAAGAAGAATATGAACCTCCACCAGCAGCAGCAGGAATGGGTGAAACAGGCGAAACAGGTGGAGATACCGGATAGACAACACCAGAGGATTGTGGAGCTGTAGGTGATTTTGCAACAACAGTTTTACTGGACGAGCTTGTAGTGGTATAACCTGGTTGTGGTGGATAGCCTGGCTCTTGGTTGTAGGTATTATAATAATTATTTGTTGTTGAGCTATGAACAGATTTTGAAACATTACCATGTTCATCATAACCTTCTTCTTCAAGAGCGGATCTTTCTTCATTAACTAAAACTTCAACTTTAACAACTTGGTAACTACCATCAAACCATTCCCAGAAAGCTTGTAAGAAATGCTTAGCTTCCATAACATGATAAGAAAGTGTACCTGCACCAATGGCTGCAGTAACACCATATGTAACAAATGCTGCAACAATACCAGTCTTTCTAATTCTAGCCCAATAATCTAACTGAATAATTGTACCACCATCTGCGTCTCTTCTAACTTGAATTTTATATTTTGGAATAAAATTTAAATGTAAACCAGTTTTTCTTTTAAATTTAAAAAAAATAAAATGAAATTAATAATCTAATTTATATTTAAAAAAAAAAAAAAAAAATTAAATAAATAAAATACATACCTTCCTTGAATGTAACCGTTTGGGTCATATCGATCTGTGTGATATTTTTGATAGGTCCACCATGAGGCTAAAGTTTCTATTAATGAAGGAATTGGAATTTGCAACCCATAATATTTTCTTGATTGAACAAAATCGAAAACACTTAATACCCCAGTAGTGGGGTCTCTATTATAACCTCTACCCATAATAAATTGTTTAGTTTAAATATATCCTTTTAAAATATATATATAAAAATTATTGTAAGTTTGTATCTTTTTTATTATTACTATTAAAGTAAATTATGTGCTTTGAAAAAAAAAAAAAACTCGATAAAGTATAATAATTAAAAAATATATATAAATATTATAAGTTTAAATATATAAAGTAATTTATTAATACATATTGAAAGAAAAAAAAAAAAAAATTTATTCTTCTTTTCAAAATATTTGAAATGTTATAAAATCCTCTAAAAAGAGTAAAAATGAAAAAGAAAATAATTTTTAAAAAATAAATTCATTTATTTATTTATTTTAATTATTTACATTTCTTTTTCAAGTTAACAGATTTTAGAAATGATTTTACATAATTATTAATATTAATATTAAATAAAAATAAAATTTAAAATTTAAAAATTAAAATTTAAAAATAAAAAAAATAAAATATAAAAAATTAAAAAATAAAAAAAATAAAAACAAATAAATATAAAAGGAATTATTCTCACCACTAATTATTATTAAATTTTTTTTTTTTTTTTTTTTTTTTTCTATTTTGCTGAAATTCACTGAAATATATGTTGATGGAAAATCCAATACCATTATTAATTTTTTTGTTTAATTTTTTTTATTTTGATATGAAAAATGAAAAAAAGTAATTATTAAAATATTTGATCTGAAATAGGTTTTATTAATTAGGAACCAATTGGTTTCAAAATAAAAAGTCATTTATTTTTGAAAATTACAAAATTTTTTATTTTTTATTTTTTTTTTGATTAATTTCCTCCTATTATCTGAATATGTTTTATAAAAAAAAAAAAGAAAAAAAAATTAAAAAAAAAATAATTTTAAAAAAATTTTAAAAAAAAAATAAAATTTATTTTAAAAAAAATTATTTAAAAAATAATTGGTTTAAATAACAAAGAAATCTTTTTTTTTTTTTTTTTTTTTTGTTTATAATTTCAAAAAAAAAAATAATGTGTATTGGTTTATCATCGAATAAGTAATTTCTAATTTAGATCCAGAATTTTATAAATAAAATAAAAATAATAATCAATTGCAATAATCAATAATTAATCAATTTTTTGTACAATAATTTTTTTTAATTGAAAAACCATACCCTTTTTTTTTTTTTTTTTTTTTAATTTTTTTCAGTTTTTTATTTTTATAATTTGTAATAGTAAATAGTATCAGTAATAAATCTTTAATATTTTCAAATAAATATTAAAAATAGGAGATCAATTCCTTTTTTTTTTATTTTTTTTTATTTATTAATAAAAAAAGGAATAATAATAATATATATATAAAAATAATATATAATATTAATAATAATAATAAATAGTTAAAATGGAGGGTTTGACATATCAACCTTTAAACATAAATCAGTTAGATGAATTTCCAAAAAAAACAATCGAATATGGTAGATCAATGATTTATGATATAGCAAGAATCGATGAATTAGTTTTAGCTTCAGAACCAGTTAGCGAATTAGAGATAGTAATGTTTTCGAGAAGAATGACATCAAAATGTTCAGAGTTAATCAATGCAACACCAAATATAGCTATATTAAGACAACAACAAACCCAATTATTTCACAGCACACATCCAACTCCAGGTAATTTATCACCAACATCATCGCCGCAAGGAAGTAGAAGGAGTAACCCGTTTGCTTTATCATCACCATTAAACTCACCCAACTCACTATCACCAACCTCATCACCAACTTTAAAAGCATTGGCCAATAGTGCACATAAAAATGATTTAAATGCATCCCTTTTTCTGTTAGATGGTAAAACTTTAGAGAAAATGGCATTAGAAGAAGGATTTGGTATTATTGAACCAGAAGAATTAAACAATGAATATAAGAATAAAATTATACGTTCAACAGTTTCAAGTATAAATAGTATAATCTACACAATTAAAGAATATAATAAACAATTTGAACTTGGTGCATCTACCGATGGAACAGACAAAGACTTGTTATTTTTTCAAAACGAATATTTTTTACATCGTACCAACATTCTTCAATCATGGAAATATCTCACTATATTTGTTTGTAAAACCTCTTGGAAGGTACCAAAAATTATGCAACCTATTTCACAAAAAAGTAGTAGCAGTGGTAGCATTGTTTCAGGTCCTCAATCATCATTAAAACACTTTAATTTAAATCACCCAATAATAGCCCATCCACCATTAATTAGTATAAATAGCAGTAATAATAATAATAATAATAATAATAATAATAATAATAATAATGAACCAACTTCACCATCATCAAACAATACAACACCATATTTCTCATCACCAAGTATTTCATCACTTCCTACCTCACCACCATTATCACCAATATCACCATCATCCTTATCACCACCATCACCCACATTCACCTCATCACTTTCAATTGCTATACCAAATAATGATGCATCAAAAAGACTCTCTCAAAGTTTTAACTCTTTCTTTGATGCAACCTCCTCCCCAGAGCAAAATTCACCAATTGTTTCAAGGGCAAAAGGTAATAATATAATTACTTTATCAAATAAAAGTCTTACAAATCTTGTAAATAGTAATAACAATAATAGTAATAATAATAATAATAATAAATCAAGTTCCTCACCAACCCAAACAAGTAAAAAACAACAAAAATCTTCTTCCCCATCAAATAATAGCAATAATAATAATAATAATATTAATAATAATAATAATAATAATAATGTACAAGTAAATAATAGTTTTAATAATATTAATTTAATTAAATCCGATTTATTTGATTTAATATTTCAATTAAATGATACTTTAATGACACTTTTGTACCATTTAAAAAATCATCAAAAGATTAAAAATAAAAAATTACAAGGCGGTGGTCCATTAACACCAAGAGGTGGTAATAGTAGCGGTGGTATGACACCAAGAGGCGGCTCAACAAGAAATAATAATAATAATAATAATAGCAGTAATAGTACACCAAACACTTCATCACCACCATTATCATCAGCAGGAGGATCAATCTCATCATCATCATCACCTAAACTTCTAGGATCTTTATATATAGAGCAAGCAAAAAATATAACAGTATCTTTATTATCATCAAAATTATTAGACACATGCTACCATTTAAAAATCAAAATTATTGATGAAACTCTTGTGGATAGTTTATTTTCTTTATGTAATATAAACTCAAGCGTAAGTATCCAAATATTTTTATTTTATTTTGTATTTTTATTTTTTTTTAAATCAAATCTTAAACCATCAAAATTTCAATCTTTTTTATTTACAACAAACAATTTTATAATCACAACAATACAATACCAACTGCTACAACCAACAATTTAGTACTATTATATACGATACAACAACAACAACAATTGTTTTTTTTTTTTTTTTAATTTAAAATCAAAAAAGATTATGTGTTGAACCTTTTGTGCTATAATCATCTTATAATCAAAACAAACATCATTATTCAAAATAATCAATATAGTTTCCAAATGTATGTGTGTTATATTTTTTTTTTTTTTTTTTGCTTTTTTCAAGAACAGGAGGAACCCACCCTAATTCATTTATCCCCACCCACATTTTATTTTTTGTGTGTTATTTAGGGTTTGTGGTGTGTGTGTGTAAAGGTGTCTGTTCTTTTTTTTTTTTTTTGAAATAAATAAAAACTTTTTATAGTGGGGTTTATGCGTTAAGTTTAAATATGACCATTATTTTAAAAAAATAGATTGACCTTCAAAATTTAAACGCACACCAAAATATTTATAATAACAAGAAACAATTAAATATTTAAAAATCAATAATAATAACAACAATAATACAGCATTAACAAAATAACATTTTATTTTAAAGTTTTTTTTGTTCTTTTTCTTTTAATTGATTTTTTCTTTTTTTTTTTTTTCTTTTTTTTTTTTTTTTTTTTTTTTAAAAATTTGTTATTTTGTTTGTTTTCTTTCCTTTTTTCTTTTTTTTTTATTAATTAAAATATATAAAAGAAATAAAGAATATTTATTTTTAATATTACAATGTGTTTATAAAAAAAACAACAACTAAAAATTTTAATCAATTTATTACTTTCTTAATTTAGGAACTTATTGAACCCCTAGAGATTTTAATTGAAATGTTGCAAAAATTCAACTTTTCACATCCAACAATTGGTAAGTTATATATATATATTTTTTATAACTTTTTATTTTATTGTTATTTCATAGTGCCATTTAAATTCATTTGCCCAATATTTATTTTAATTATTATAATATATCACACTATTTATATTGAATCATAAATTTTAAATCACCACTCACTTTCCGTTTTATTATTTATTTCATCTTCACCACACAAATAAAAAAAAAAAAATTATGTTACCCAATCACCCATCCCACCAAAAAAAAAAAAAAAAAAAAAAAAAAATAATTTCAAATAGGCGCTCAATAATTATTAATTATTTATATAAAATATCGATTATGTATATATAATCATTTTCACACACATCACAACTTAATAGTAGCAACACTATTTTTATATTATTGATAAAATCATATCAAAATGTATTTTTTTTGATTAGCCATATTATCTGCCTTTTGTTTTTCAAAATTGTTCAACTCTCAATCACACATAAAATCAAGATTATTTAAAAAAATTAAAAAATAATTATTTTAAAAAAAAAATTAAAAAAAAATTATTTAAAAAAAAAAAAAATTTAACCACCAAATTTTTAAAAAACACACATACCCCCACCATATCCATTTTATTTGTTGTTTTTTTTTAATTACTAGTATAGTTTATTATATTTAATACAAAATAAATCAAAAAATTGGATTTAAAATCAAATTATAATAATCAATTGTTATTGTTATTTTTTAATTGTTTTTATATAAAAATATAATACATTTTTTAAATAAAAAAAATTAAATTAATTTTTTTTATATTTATTTTATTTTACATTTTATATAAAATTTCATATTGTATTAAACATATATATATTTGTTTATTTTTAAAACTGTATCTTTTAAACCAATTGTATATATAAATAATCTTTTTTTTTTTTTTTTTTTTTCACATAATCATTGTTTCATATAAAATATATTTGTTTTATAAATATCGTCAATTTTTTTAAATTTTATTTATTAATTATTAAATTTATTTTTAGTAATTGAAAATCCATCATCATCACCACCAAGTGTAAATATATATTCACAGTCACCACAATCACCAAATAGTATTCCTAGTAGCAGCGGTAAATCAAGTAAATCAAGTAAACCACCACATCATCCAAAATCATTAGAGACAAAACATCATGATAAAGCATCAAGTCCAATTAAATCTATATTTAAATTAAAAACAAAAGAAAAGGAAAAAGAAAAGGAGAAAGATAAAGTAGAAACTAATAATAATAATAATAATAATAATAAAAAGGAATTACCAGCATCTTTATCACGTTCAGCACCTACTACACCAATTTTATCACCAGCAAATTCACCATTTGCATCACCATCATCAAATAATTCATTATTTTCACCAATAACATCACCAAATAATAACAATACACCAATAACATCACCAAATAAGGGTGAATCTCAATCATCACCAAATAGTAGACGCAATAGTAATAGTATTTCACCATCACAATCTTTTGGTGATTTAAATAATATTAATAACAACGACATAACATCTCCTTCGAGTAATAATTCTACTAGTATTTTAAATAATAATAGTAGTAATAGAAGTAGAAGTAATAGTAATAGTAACGAATCAAGTGTAACATTAAATCAACAAATAGATCCATCCAATCAAAATTTGATTAATGATCTTTTGCAAACTATAAGTAATAGTAATAATAATAATAATAATAATAATAATAACGACGAAGATAATATGGAACCATTTAATGTAAATAGTAATGTAGATAGTAGACAACCAATTTCAATAAATTTATCAAATAATGGGGTATCAGTTTATAAAGTTCCAGAATTGAATATATCTAAAATTAATACAGCCTCGAATAATACAGTCGATAAACAAATATCACCAAGGGGTAATAATATTGACCAAATAATACAACAACAAAATACACCCATTACTGTGCCACAAAACAATAAAAAATTAAACCAAATTTTAGGTGCATCCGAAGATATCATGGCAAAGAAACAGCTATTAAAACCAAAGGATTTATCAAAACAAAATAAAATGGGTTTCTTCTCAAAGCATCTCAAAACAATGAAGCAAAATGAAGAGCAACAACAAAGAAATAGTTTTAACCAGTTTTGGTTAGAAGGTTCAACTCACAAACAAAGACAAGATCAGGTACCACTCGACGAAAAGCAAAGACATCAAATCGTTACTTTAGGTTCATACGTTTCGAATTTAGTTATTAAGGGTTTATTAGCTTCTGCAACTCCAATTGTACCACCACATTTAGAAAAGTAAGAATTTAACAACATAATATTTTAATTTAACACATAGGGTATGGTTTATTAACTTTTATAATTCTATTTTTATCAGATATTCATCATGTGTATTATTTGCAGATATTTCAGGTTTTACATCATTAACAGAAAGACTAGGTAATCATGGTAAAGAGGGTGTCGAATTATTAACTAAAAATTTAAACAGCTATTTCTCGATTTTGATCAAAATTGTTAAAGGATATGGAGGAGATATTGTAAAATTTGCAGGTGATGCAGTTTTAGCTCATTGGCCAACAAACGGAGAGTTACTTAATCGTGTTAGAATAGCATGTGAATGTTCATTAGCATTACAAAAGAAATTACACAATTTTCCAGTACCAGGAGGTTTCTTAACATTACATATCGGTATTGGTTGTGGCGATATCTCTGGTGTTTATGTTGGTGGTTGTAGAGAAAAAGTAGAATTTTTAATTGCAGGTGAAGCTTTAATTCAAGCCACCCTTTGTGAAAAAGAAGCCGAATCCGGTGAAATTTATGTATCTCCACAAACTCAAGAAAAGATGAATAAGTTTGCATCGTTCTCTCAAAAGAAAGGTAAAAGCAATTATAAATTAGAATCGATTACAACCCATTTAGAAAAGAATCTCATCGATGATCACTTCCTTACTTCAATGTCATCATACAACCACAAATTCCTTCAAGAGTTACCCTTGCTCATGGATATGGAGGATTCATTAAAACGTTTTGTACCAGATGCTGTTCATAATCAATTCAAAAATGATTATCTTGCAGAACTTCGTTATATTACCGTACTCTTCATGAATCTTTCTTATGGCACCCCAAATCCAAATACCGATTTAAATAAACTTCAAAGTATAGTTCACGATTGTCAAAATATTGTATATAAGCACGAAGGTACTATCCGTCAATTTATTGTAGATGATAAAGGCTGTGTTTTAATTGCCGCTTGGGGTGTACCACCATATTCACACGAGGATGATCCATCAAGAGCTGTCGAGGCTGCTATGGAGATCGTTGTAAATGTATTCAAACATGCTGTAATTTCATCGGTTGGTATTACTACAGGTAAATGTTTTTGTGGTGATGTTGGTAGCGATGAACGTCGTGAATATGCCGTTGTAGGTGATACCGTTAATTTAGCAGCCCGTCTTATGTCTCATAGTCAAGGTGGTGTTCTTTGTGATGAAGAAACATTTAAAACTGCCAAGATGATCGAGTTTGTTAAATTAAGTAACCCAATTAAAGTCAAAGGTAAAACCTCTTTAATCAACGTATATAAACCAACCAAAAAGTTAAATGTAATGAAGAATTCTTCCCCAAGACATATGATTAAAAACAAAGGTATCATTGGTAGACACACTCAGTTAAGACAAATGGCAAATATAATTGACAATTTAAGAATGGAAGAGCCAACTCATGTAGCTATCATCGAAGCAGAAGCAGGTTTAGGTAAATCTAGATTCCTCTCAGAAATTAAATACTCTTTCTGTATGGATTTGAAAATGTTTAAAGCCACAGGTATTCAAATGAATGAATCAGTTTCATTTTATATTTGGAAACAAATTTTACAACCATTCATCAAGGAAGAGTCTGAAAAAGGTTTCCCATCGTTCCAAGATTTAGGTTCTCAGGTTTTATTTTTAAATCAAGTTTTTGATATAAACATCCCCATAAATAGCATGATTCATATTAGCAGCATTGATTCTCTAGGTAATTTCGTATTGGATGGTAATGAAAATGAATTGTCATCATCATCAAACTCAACTCCAACATTATCATCAACTCCACCAAATAATAATAATAATAATACAATCACATCAGTAGCAGAACAAAAGCGTTTATCATCTGCACAAAGAGCAGAAATTATTCAAAATATGATGAGTAAATTATTAGTAAAAGCTATACCAGCAAAATCGATTATAGTAATCGATGATGCTCAATTTATGGATAATGCAAGTTGGATTTTAACTTTAAATACTGTTAAAATTTTACCCAATTGTCTCATCATAATATCAATGCGTCCATCAAAAGATGGTATCCCATACGGATTTTATCAATTACCAGCTCAGCAATCAACAAGAATTCAATTAGAACCATTAGGCGGTAAAGCTGAAACAGCACTATTAGTCGAAAGAATGTTAGATTTCTGTGAAGGAGGTGTCCCAGATGAAATTATTGAAGAAATTTACAATCGTTCTCAAGGTAATCATTTCGTAATTGAAGAGATGGTTAATGGTTTAATTTCAAATGGTCTTATTGATGAAAGTTCATCACGTTTCATTAATCCAAAAGAAGCTATTGACCATGTTAGATTATCATTACCACGTACTGTTACATCTTTAATTACAAGTAGAGTTGATCGTTTATCACCAATACAACAATTAGAATTAAAAATCGCTTCTGTTATTGGTATGCCTTTCACTGTTGATTCTCTTCATAGAGTACTCCCACCAGAAACTATTACCAAACAAGATTTGGCCAAGGATTTAGCAGTTTTAGAACGTTTAGATTTCATTAAATCAACTACTATCAATACTCAACAACAATTATTACAACAGCTACAACAACAACAACAATTACAACAGCAATTACTTCATAACCAGGCTTCAAATAGTTTTATTAATGGTAGTACCCATGGAAGTATATTGGAACAACCTCAAACTCCAACCACTATCATCAATAACAATCTTTTATATAGTTTCCACCATACACGTACTCAAGAGGTAATTTATGATTTAATGCTCTTTTCTCAAAGAAGAGAGTTACATCAAAAGATTGCAAAGATTTTAGAGGATACTTGTACTCCACAACATTCTCTTTTCATCTCATTAGTTCACCATTACCATTCAGCTCAAAATAACCCAAAGACAATCGAATATAGTACCAAAGCTGGTGCATTGGCTCAAGCAGAAAATAATCATAAAGAGGCTATTAAATTCTTTAAATTAGCATTGAAATGTATGGAGCAAGAGTTTATTCAAGAAGAGGAGGTAAAAATGCATAAGAAGCTTCATAGAAGATCATCATCTCAAAATCTCAAAGACGCTGTTGGAGGACAACAAACTCCAATTAACATTCAAGATATCATTGATGCCAATAATAAAGATAATAAAGGTTTAGATGGTGATTCCAAACAAAAGGAAACAACTACAAGTCTTGCTGATCTCGTTGGTATTAGCTCCAGAAAGATTCCAGTCGAAATTGTTTCAATCACTAGAAAACTTGGTTTAGCTCTTTTTAATGTTGGTCAGTTAAAATCAGCATCTTATCATTTATTGAATGCTCTCAAATATTTAGGTGTAGAACCACCAACACCAAGAGATGGCTCAAAACCAAAACAATTAAGAACATTGGCTAAAGCTGCAGTTCGTCAGGAATCATCAACAAAATTCTTTAGTAACAATTTAGATATGTTGGAAAAGAGAGAAGCAATTCTTTGTCTTTTTATTCAAAGTAAAATAGCATTCCATGATTGTTCAAAAACATTAGATTTCTGGTGTTCTTATATTTCATTACAATTATCATCCACTACTCAACAGGTACTTTCAAATCCTGATTGGAATTTACAATCCGAAGCTTATTCCATTGGTATTCGTGTACTTGGTAATAATGGTGACCAATCAACACCATTAAAATATTATGCAGAGGTCTTATCAAAAATGGATCAAACTAATGGTTATGTATTTGGCAATAGTCATCAATCTTGGGGTATTCTTATGGCAGGTCAAGGTAGATGGGCCGAAGCAGAAAGTGGTTTCAAAAAAGCATGTGAAGCATCATTTAAAACTGGTGATAAGAAATTAATGGAAGAATCAAATATTTTCTTATCTCTTTGTTATCTTTTATGCGGGGGTCAAAAGACTAGCAACATTTATTCACTTTGCCAAAAAGCTCTAGAGTCTGCAAGAGATCGTGGTGATTATCAAATTCAAATCGCCGCTCATACTACCGAAGCTTGCACATTATTCTATGATAGACAATATCCACAATGCCAAAATTTAGTCAACGAAATTGAACGTTTCATCGAAATTCTCACTACCAAAGAGCTCACAAATTCATCTCATGCCAATTACCTCATTCTCAAAGCTCAATTATCGGTATCATCTAAAGATTGGCAATCAGCTTATGAATATTGTAAAAAAGTTTTCACTATTGTTAGTAAAATTGATACAAATAATTTTGCAACATACGAGGCATTCACTGGTTTGCCATTGGTTTTAGTTAAGGTCATTCAAAATCATACTCATATTATGTCATTAGTTAGCAAAGCCAGATTAATTATTGAAATCAATGAAACCATTTCAATATTAGAAAAGTTTACAGATAATTTCCCAATTGGGCAGCCAAGATTATTATTAGTTAAAACCTTAATGATTGCTTTAGGTTATCGTGAACCTTCCGAAAGTGAAGCTAATTTATCAGCCTTAAAAGAAGCCAAAGACAGATGTCAAAAGCTTGGTATGTCTTTTGATTATGTTTGTATTCATAATCCAAGTGGTAGCAATACCAGTGTCAATAAAAATCATTCATCACCAAGTTCAGCTAATAATAGTCCAAGTAGCTTTAGAAATAGTATGACTTATACAAGCGCAAATAATATAAATACAATGGATAATAATAATGCTAGTATCCATCACAAACATAGTAACAGTTATAATAATGTTAGCGACATTATAAAATCTCCACAGTTAAATAGTGAAACATCATCACCATTGTCAGCATCAAGTTCCCATGCAGATTTACCACCACCAATTGTTTATTTACCACCATTATCATCTTCAACAACCAATCCAATTAGCGTACATGATAGTTTACCATCACAACCAGCAAGAACCATTTCAGCTCAAGATTTATCAACTTCATCATCATCATCAACTTCATCACAACAAGACCAACAACACAAAGATAAAACAAACAGTAACAGCACAGGCGATTCAAAAGAAAAAGAACAATTATCACCACCATCATCTTCAAAAAAAGATATTTTAAAGAAAATAGGTATTAAATTTTGGAAAGATTAAAAATATCACAACTTATTTATTTATTTATATATGATATATTAAAAGTAATAATAACCAAGGTATAATTGAAAAATTTACAAAAAAAAAAAAATAACAAAAAAAAAAACTATAGAATTAAAATTTATATAGTATCATAATAAAATTTGTATAAATATATTTAAAAAATTTATAATTTTAAAAAAAGATTGCATAAATAATTCTTTTCATTTATTTTTTATTTTATTTTTTATTATTTAACAAGTTACTGTATATGAATATGGATGATTCTTATCAAAATTACAACCTTGATAAGAGGTACTATAACAATTTCCTCTTCTTGTACAAAGATATGTAAATGGTTGATTTTGAGAACATAAATAATCAATATGATATTCAAAGGTTTTTTCGGTATAATCTACTGTGTAGTACTGTTTATCTTTTTAAATAAAATTATTATTATTAATAAAATTATAAATTACTTTAACTTTTTAATATATAAATGTAATAAACTTACATAATTCATTAGAACAAACTTTTTCAGTTTGGTTATAATATTGAAAAACAATGGACTGTGGAGGAATGACACCTGTATTTGATATGGTAGATAGATACGTTGATGTTGTGTGGGGAAGAATAAAGTTTGTGCATGAATCAATGGTGTAGTTATTTATTTGAAAGCTGTTATGATCTGAACAATCATTAAACCATGATACAAATACATTGTTTTCATTTTGTTCAAACAATGCACTATATTTATTTATTTTGATGCACTGGTTCACTGGTACTACAAATCCACCTCCAATCGTTGTCCCATCATTGCAACTATTACCATTTTGGGGAGTAATATAAATATATTGATTTGTGCCTAAAGCTATATTTATAAAAATTATAATTAATAAAGCTAATTCTATTTTCATTTTAGAATTAAATTAAAAAAAAATGAAGATTCTTTATATACTTTTTTTTTTTTTTTTAAAATTTTATTTTTTTATAAAGAATCTAGATTTTTTAGATAAAAATTTATAATAGAATAAATTTTTTGATTCCTTTTTGATTTTTTTTTTTTAAAATTGATTTCTAACTTCTATAAATCCTTCTATTGTTTCTATAAGCTTAAAAGTTAGTATCTTTTCATAAAAATTAAGGTAAAAAAAAAAAAAAAAAAAATTTAAATTTAAATTTATAAAAAAAACAATGATTTTTATTTATTTATTTCGATTTTAGAATTGTTTTTTTTAACTCTATACATTTTATTTCTATTTTTCTTTTGATTTTTTTTTTAGTTCATAAAATATGGTTTAATGAACATCGATGTTGTTAAAGAGGAATTTGAGGCACATAAATCGTTATTATTAAATTTATTCGATTCACAACTATTAGTATTATTTGATAAGATTTGGTTATTTTTGTTGTTTTGATTTAAAGAGATTAATGATTCTATTGTTAAAGAAAAAAAAAATTAATATTTTAAAAATATTTTATTTGAATTATAGCATCACAAAGTTATACATACTGAATAACATTTTTGACTTTTTTTTTTTTTTATAAATGAATATATATATATTTCTAAAGTTTTGTTTTTATTCGATTTTTTAAAGTTGTTATTTATTATTTGTTTTTTTTGTTATTTGTTTATTTTTAAAAATGCTATTTATAGTAAAAAAAAAAAAATATAAAAAAAAAATAATAAAAATTAAAATAAATATTAAATAAAAGAGAAGGTTTTCTATTGTGAGTGGAGAAGGGTATTTTTGGTACCACTAGTAACAAATATACTATTTATGGAACAATATTATTTTTTATTATTTTTTATTATTTTTATTTTTAAAAGATTTATTTATTGTGTGTTTATTTGTGGTGTGTTTCAAAATTAAATCGAATAGATCATGATGAATTGTGTAGAGTGAATGATGATTCCATAAAAAACTATTTAAATTTAAATTTAAGTTTTATTTTATAATATGGATATACAATGATTTTATATGATTATATATGTATTATATTTGATAACATTATCATTTTTAAATGAAAGTATAAAAATTATTTAATCATTTATAATAATATTATTTATTGTTGTTGATGTTGTTATTATTACCATTACTTTTATATTGTTGTTTATATTAAATCATTGCATAATAAATGAATAATATAGATCCACTTTTAATGTTTTTATTGTTGTTTTTGTTATCAATATTAATTTTCTGTATCAAAATTAAAATATAGATTGTAAAGATACTGATTATTATTGTTTTGATATTTTTTAATCTTTAATATGATGTGATAATAAATGTATGAGCTATAAATAATGATGAATACATGTATGGGTTTATTTATCAAATATTTGAAAAATAATAAATTTTTTTTTTTTTTTTTTTTTTTTTTAATTTACAAAATTGGCTTTTTTATTTTTTTCTATTTATAGATTTTATTCATAAAAACGAATTTCATATAATGAAAATTTTATCATTTGTAAAATGGAGAATATGAACAGAAATAATAAATAAAAATAAAAGAAAATAAAAAATCAATTTTTTTTCTCATTTCGCAAAAAAAAAAAAAAAAAAAAAATAATATTTTTTTTTAAAATTTAAATTTATTTTAATTTTTCATATTTTTATTTAAATCTTTTAATTATAAAATATTTATATATTACATTTTTTTTATACTAAATAGATTTTGTAAATAAAACAACAAATTACGAAAATAAATAAATAATTTAAAGTAAAATAAAATGGCAAAAAATAAAAATACACCAAATAAAAAATCTAAAGTAGATAAACAGACACAGCAACAGGTCACAAAAGAAACAATTGAAGAAAAACCAATTTACAAAATTGATGGTTCCATTTTAGAGGGTGGTGGTCAAATTTTAAGAAATACAGTTGCTTTGTCATCATTGTTTGATAAAGCTATTTTAATTGAAAAGATTAGATATAATAGAGATCAACCAGGTTTGAAGAATCAGCATAAAACAGGTATTGATTTAATGGCGAAATTGTTTAAAGCTCATATTACAGGTTCAAGTGTAGGTTCAACTAGATTATACTATCAACCAACATTGAGATCAATTAAAGACGATGGCGTTATTGAAGCCGATACCAAAACAGCAGGTTCAGTTTGTTTAATTATTCAAGTAGCATTACCATGCTTAATTTTTGCACCACATTCAGTTAAAATGGTTTTAGGAGGTGGAACTAATTGTGATTTTGCACCAGCTGCAGATTATATGGAGAATGTATTCCTCCCAATAGCAACTTCAATGGGCTTTCAATGCGATATGAAAATTGATAAAAAAGGTTTTTATCCAAAAGGTGGTGGTGCAGTAACCATCACTACTCAACCATTAACTGAACCTCTAAAACCAATAACAATTGTAAATAAAGGAAATGTTAATAGAATAGTGATTCAAGCATTCTATACAAGTAGAATTTCCCCAGTAGTAGCAGAAAGAATGGTCAATACCTCAAGAAAACTCATCAAAAAAGATTTTAAAAAAGTGGAAATTGAAACTGAAATTATAGATATGAGCAAATATTCTTTTGGTGATGGTACCTATATATTCATTAGAGCATTCACTGACACTGGTTGTGTTTATGGTTCAACTGGAAATGGTGCTATACGTGTTCCAGCAGAAACAATTGCAGAGGATGCAACCAATTCCTTACTTAAAGATCTACAAGATGGTGGTTGCGTTGATGAATATCTTCAAGACCAACTTATTATATTTATGGCTTTAGCAAAAGGTAAAAGCATTATTAAAACTGGTCCAATTTCATTACATACACAAACTTCAATTCATTACACCTCATTAATGACTGGTGCAACTTTTAAAATCTCACCAGTTGCCGAACGTTTACCAGGCGAAGAAACTTTTTATATCGAGTGTGACGGTATTGGTTATCATCCTTCAAATGATATCGATATTAATCCAACACAACAAATTACAAATAATAATAATCAAAATAATAATAATAATAATAATAATAGCAATACAGAGATAACAACAACAACAACAACAACAACAACAACAGCAAATACTACAACTACAACTGTACAATAAAATTCCAATAAATTTTTAAAATTTAAAGAAACCAAAAATAGTTTTTATTTTTATTTTTATTTTTTTTGTAATTATTTTGGTATAAAATAATAATCATATATTAAATACAGATATAAATAATTTATAAATAATTAAAATAAAAATAATTTATGGGGCTGGGGGGAAAGATAAATTTGTGTGTGTGTCGATTATGTAGTAGTGTACATGAAAAATTTTTTTTTTTTTTT